ATGGATCTAAAAAGTTTTTACCGTAACATCTAGGGATGCTAAGCTTGCTTAAGTTGTCGAGCATTGTGTACCACTGATACCATTTGTCGTAGATATCAACAGGTATTGCATCATGCCAACCAATATTCAACTTCCACAATCTTTGTAACAAAATTTTTGGCACCAACGTAACGTTAGCGAGAAAGCCGAATGGATCGAAAATCGACATTGTTAAACCCAACAATTCAGCCTTTGTCGGTCGGCGCGTACCATCCAAGACTGACTTCGGTACTCTCGCAAACACTAAATTGAAAAAGAATACATCACAATTGGCCTTCCAGTGCATGCCAAGTACCTTTTCGTAAGCAGATTCTGAACCGCACATATTCTTCGAGTCACCCTGATACTCCGTATTGCAATCTATAGCTCTCAATAGCTCGCTAGAATTGGATATAAAACCTCTTAACTCAAACCCAGCTTTGCTGTGAATCTCAATCACTTTTTTCGTTACGCTTATGCTCTCGTCAACCCCAGGAAAACTATCCACGTAATCATCAACGTAGTGACGGTTGATAATAGCTTCGACTGCCCGCGGATCTTCATGTTTAAATTTTAACGCATTCAGATTTTTAACAAACTGAGCAGAGCATGGAGAACAAATCGAACCGAAAATCATAGCCTTCATTATATACACATCCGGCGGCCTTGACGTATCACCTTTACGCCAAAGAAAACGTTGAAAATTTTGATCTTCCTCAATAATATTAATGCGGTGGAACATTTCTCTAATGTCTCCACAAACGGCTATCATACCCTCTCGGAATTTAAACAAAATTGATTGTAAAGGTCGTGGTTGATAATCATCTGGACCCTTCATAAGCATAGAATTCAGTGAAACATCGTTAATCTTAGCGGCGGCATCAAACACAAGTCTAGGCTTATTGCCCTTGTTTACATTATAAACGGCGAAATGGGGTAAATACCATACACGTTCATTCGGCAATTCAGTCGAAGATAGCTTTCTAGCATAACCCTTGTTTATGTATTCATTTATTTTCGCATTGTACCATTCTGCATAACTAGAATCGCGTAACATTTTTTGTTCAACAAGCTTAAGTCGTCTTAATGCTACATCATAACTATATGGCACAGTTACATTATCATTACGCCACAAAAGGCCTGTTTTATACCTACCACCTATAAATTTAGTTGTGCTGCTCAAAATACTTTCCGCTCTAATGTCAGCAGCAGACTTTATAACAGGCAATTTGGTTCAAACCCTTCTAGCGCAAAGTAATCATCTAATTGTTTTTGTATTTCATTCATACCCTGATCATTGATATCTACGTGACAAACTGTAGAATTATTAAAATTATTTTCGTCTGAACCGAATAGCGTCCAACCCAATTTGGTTTCATGTACTGTAAACCCTTCGTTGAAATTCACAACACTCAAGGGGCGTACCAAATTCGTATGCGGCATTCCAATCAGAATTTTAGGAATTGCATCAGAATAATTTTCTATAGGTATGTCATTTAGTTCTTCGAACTGATGCGCAAACTTCTCTACGCATAATGTTTGCGGAGGCAACAATAACTTTTTTATTGTTCGCACGCCTTTCATGTCAAATCTCTTGTTGCTATTCACGCTTGAAATTTCTAAATTTGCACGCATAGAAACCTCGCTTGTAGTTTGGTCATCAAACCATTTTAAATGCAGCAAGTCTCTTCTACCTGTAAGACCAATTTTATTAGCGATTTCTTCTTCAAGCAATGTTACTTTAGCTCCGTCATCTATAAATGCAATTATCTGCATACTTCCTTTTGGTCCATGCAGCTTCACAGGCAGAAATTTCAACAATGTTTTGTTTACATTGGCTCTCTCCTTATTCGCATTCGTTGATTGCTTCTTGTCATTTACTAGCGAGCGACAAGTGCTTACGGTGGCAACAGCTGACTCAGCAGGCACGATGTTGCCAGTATTGGCATTTTTAGCGATCTCATTATGCAACAATTTATTGTGGGATTTTTGGCACAACGATACGCCGCATGCGCGACGTCGCGGACAGTTGTAAACATTGTGGCCCTGAGAAAGGCAACAAAAGCAAAGGCGGTTCGTTTTTACGATCTCCCATCGTTTATCGTTATTACAATCTTTAAATTTCAAGCATTGGTACAATCGGTGGTTGTCTTTACATAATACGCATTTCAAATTTTCTTCTGATACGGCTAGCACTGTTTTTACTAATCTACTACTTGAATTACAATTTCGTGGTGGTTTATCCGAGCTGATGTGTGGTGAGTTAAATTCTGCTGCCATAACAACGTACGTTGACATCAGTTGCAACCACGAACTGAATTCGCAAATTGTTGGATATGGCTTATTTATTGCAAATGTGTGACGTGCCCATTCTTCACGTTTATAAAGTGGTAATTTACTTACCAATTCATCAAGCAATGTGGGGTTTGAAAGGTGAGGTACGGCACCGGCGTTCTCCAAGAAGGCGACTAAATTCGTAACCATTGAACTGAAGTTGGCAATTTCATGGATTTTCCCACTTGTGATAGATGGAAATGTTCTGGCTTTTGCAAGTTGGCTGCGTATAAGTAGTTCGGGCCGTCCGAAGTGAAACTGCAGCGACGAAATCACTGCATTCACGCTTGAGGGATGAATTAACAGCGATTCAACTTTTGATCGGGCATCTCCTGTAAGAGCTTTCTGCAAACGGAGTAAATTTTCGACATTGGTATATGTAATTGATGTATGTAGAATTGATGTTGGCAAAACTGGCATTAGGCATATAGTTACCTGCGTTAAGGTTGAAATGAGACGTAGTAGGTTGTACATAGCTGGGCATATGATGATTATCTGATATAGTGTTGGCGAAACTTGTGTAGGCGTAGGAACGGGTGGAGAACACATCGGCAGCAGCGACGTTAGAAGTTTGTGTGGCAAGAGCGGCGGCGTTAGTATAACTCATATGTGGCAAAGAGTAGGCAGGATAATCGGCAGTTGCTGATGTAGCGATATACATCGGCGTAGCAGGTGCGGTAGCACTTACGTGACCAGAGTCGGCAAGTGACTCATTAGTCTTCGTGTCGACGGTGTAAGTTGTCGATGCAAGCGTTCGCTTCAGAGATAATCTCTCTTTTTCGGAGGCTTCCAAAGATAATTGCAACTTACGAATTTGTTCTTGCATCTCTGCGACTGTGTTGTTTGGTATGACCATCGTGCGATCCCCATCATTGTCGCTGGATGAATCTTCATTTGAATTCGGCATTTTTGATGAATTCTGAGCGATATCTGTATTTTTATTCCTCAAATTATAGCGTGGCATGCGTTAACTTAAGATGGCGGTTATTCACGAGAACAAATATTAAAAAGAAATGTTGCGGCGGCAATTACAACTTATTAAAAAAAGGCACACGAATATATTAAGAACACTTTATTCTCCAGATCAGTACAGAACTTCCAAAAAAACTTGCGTTTTAATATCTAGAAGCATATTTAAAATTACAAGAAAGACAAAAATGATAATTTCTCGACCTACTTGTTCGTGCTTCCTCCTCGGCTCTTCGTGAAAAGTGAAGCCGTACGAAGCCATTTTAAATTTAAAAATTTCAGTATACTTATACAGAGTTGAAATAAAAGGTAGTAAAAAATATAATTTATCAGGAATGCATTTTTATAACTTAAGCTAGGTACTTATGTCCATAACAAGGACATTTTCGCGTTTTGAATACCCACTAAATTTGGTGCGTAAAGCATCAAGTTGGCAACAGTGAATGTAAACAAAAGTATTTTATGACGTCAGCGATTGGGTGGATGCTGTCATATCGACGAAGAGAGGGTTAGCGGTCCGCGAATGGCGCGACCTTTATTTTCTGGATCGTACCTGATACCTACGAGCATCAGTGACATGTAGCTCTGACTTCTACACTAGCCGTGGGTAACACAGTGCGGCGCCGCGCCATTGCGCTGATACCGAGAGCTGAGTTACTGGCGTCGATACCGATTTTCACAACTCAGTGACGCAAGGACGCCAGCAACACCGGAACATTGACAACACAGGGCGGCGCAAAGAACCAGCAAAGAACACACAAAAGAAGTGTCACTTGTAAAATGTGCAGCACATGGCGAATTTTTAAAAGGTGGTGTTGCTAAAATTAGCCGCGGTCCTTCTGAATGTGAAAATTATGTGTTTGTTGTATTTTTGGGTTTTGAACTTGGGTATGCTTTAGTTTTTTGCCCAATTGATACCACCTTGTATTAATTTACCTTAGTTTAACACCGGAACACTGACAACACCGGGTGTCGCAAAGAATCAGCAAAGAACACCCGAAATAGAAGTGTCTCTTGTAAAATGTGCAGCACAAGGCGAATTTATACAAGATGGTGTTGCTAGAATTCGTCGCGGTCCTTCTGAATGTGAAAATGATAGGTTTGTTGTATTTTTGGGTTTTGAACTTGGGTATACTTGAGTTTTTTCTCAACCGATATCACCTTGTATTAATTCACTTTGGTGCAGCGTGCAGCAATAAAGGAAATGAGCTTTAGCCTGAAGAGGCACAATTGCGCTGGAGTTAGGGTGTCAGCTTCAAAAAATTGCGCCGTTACCCAGGCCTATTCTACACCAGGCGCTATTTTCTAACATGGTACACACGCGCTTTGAATTGAAATATTCGCCTTGTTTATAACGTCCCCGCTTGTGCTCTTTGTGTACCTTATCTAACAAGTGGGTGCTTAAAGAACAAATGTCATGGCGTGTGTTTGCTAAAAAAACGGCTGTTGGATACGGCAGGGCATAAAGTGTGAGACAAACAAATATGTGAGAAAAAATTGCAATCATCTCTTGTTGGTTTCGGTGCGCTGCTGTTTCGCTCCAAGTTGATATCTGCTGCGCATATCTTACCACATAAAGACGGCCGGCGAATGCTGAAATAAACGAAGCGAGAGTTTTGATGGACTATACGAACTACGCAAAGTAAACTCTTGCAGCACAATAGTGTAGCAATTAACGATATTGTTATTTTTTGTACAGAAAATGAGCCAAATGTAACTAAAAGGCAATATGGATATAAGAAGAATGTACAGAACACGCAGATATACCTAGTACGATCGCCGACACACTGCTGCTATAAGCTGTTAAGGAATTGCATAACGGGATGTCGAAGGGACCTTGACGATATGATACTTTAAGTTAAGTTAAGTTAAGCATGGCTTGAAGGAGCGACTTGAGCGACTATTGAGCCGGGGTTAGTTTCCGTCGCAGGTAAATATACAACAGTATATACGATATGCCAGTTTGCCGCGACAAATTGTTTTCACCGAGAATTTAACCATGGAAGATATATTTTTTTTGTAATAGTAAACAGTAGTAGTAATGTATGTACGATGAAAGTGCGTTCAAGGGAATGTGTCTGTTAAAAAGGTAGGAGACCTGAATTTCGGCAAGCCTGATCAAAAGTGCAAAAGTGACATTTCATATTTTCCTTGATTTTGGGTTTAATTCGTGAATATATATGTAAATAAATTTCAAATAAACTTCCAAGGTAGAAAACATGTCCGCGAATTTGGTTGGATACTTTGTTATGTTACTGCGTGTTCCGGGCGGAGGTCGTGGCGGAGCAGG